CCCCCCCCCCCCCCCCCCAAAAAAAAAAAATAGTGAGAAAGTTTCAGACTAACCTGCATGACACACTCATAAATCCACTCAGACGTGGCCAATTGTATGCCCCATTTACAAGCAGCCTCGTACTTTGGGCCACTGGCAAATTTACACAATAAATGGGTGACTTTTTTAGTCAATTTTTCCACAAATTTAGCTCCAAGAACAAAGCACAAATTTCTTAGCAGCAGTCTATCTTTCTCATCATATTGCGAAACACAGAACCGAAAGCTTTCAAAACCAGGTAAAGGAATCTGGCATGGAAGTGGAGTATAAAGAATGTGACTGCAAACATCCAGCAAGCATCCGTCCTTCAAAACCCATGTTCTGACATCATTAGCATTGTCATTGCCCACAAGACGATATATTCCAAACGAGAGAGAGAGAGAGAGAGAGATGATGGTGCAAATTTAGCTACGAATTTTGGATATTTGTTAAAAGAATCATTGTGATCAGGCAACTTTACTATAGCCAAGGGCATAGCACATACGATGTAAAGTTTGATTTGGGAAGCACAAATATCAAACCGATACATTGTTAAATTTATTAAAACAAAAACAGGATGGCAGAAAAAAGATAAAATAAAATATAGGGAAACTAACGATTAACAATTTGGAGAATATAAATCTCCAAACCTAAAGTACCAACTGCTTGTCTAAGAATGCAAGATGGATACCGATCAATTCTTCCCAAGCTAGAAGTCATAAAACCTATAAAATATAAAATGAAATTTTGAACTATAAACAGCAACTTAACAAAAAGGTGGAAATAAAGCAGCTTATATCTCACTAGCTTCTCATATGCTACGTAGAAGGTTTTGTAACTTTTTGTACAACAGGATCCATCTGTACCATAGAAAAGAAGAGAGTAGTAGAAAATTCATTCATGAATAGTAAAAATACCTCTAAGCAAGATCGAATCCAGTGACTGGATACGCTAGTACTCCCAGTAACATCAGTCAGACTGGGTACCACACCATGACATTCAACAATGAAATGCACATTCTTGTCAATGTGATCATCCACCACCTCCCCTCCCCCTTGATTAACCCACTGAACAATCTCATCTCTCTGGCCAGATAAAGAATCCAATACATATGATCAAACATACAGGATATTGAATACAGGATTATGTATAAACGATGAGAGAAAGGCTTACATGAAAAGAAAAGAGGAGGAAACCAAGCGCTTCCAACAAATATAAACATATGTTGCACGTCAAAATAGGTGTAATTGCCAGTTCAATGCTTCAAAATTACACCATCAGATTTTGTTATAAATGTGCATCAACATGTCTTGTACCCATCAACATATCTAATTTCTCTCTTAACTGACATATATTCCATCATATTTTAAAATGTCCGTTGGAACTAAAATGTTAAGATGTAGGGAAAGACTACATTATCGAAGGCTTCTGGTAAAGTATCGAAGGTTTACCTTTTGGTATCGTCCTGAAAATTACAAATCAATTGGGTAAGGTTACGACTCAATCAGGTGAGAGTATGATAAAATGGGGTCAATTGGGTCAATCCTAAAATGTAGGATTGATCCTAACACTTTAGGATTGATTCCAACTTTTTGAGACATAAGTTGACCCTAATTGAGTCATACTGACCTTTTTGGGTCGTAACGTGACCCTAGTTGAGTTGTCACTAAGCCCTATTGAGTAGTAACTTTTGGTACAGGAACGAACTTGGTTCTGTTGTCGTTCCCTTAGATATAGATCAATATGTAATTAATTTAATCAGAAAGTTGACCATACATGGACGACTATGGATTTAATCAAGGATGCTTTTGCCGTCACTTCAGGTAATTTGATGACTAACATTTGCTTCGAAGACCCAGTTGACACCTTGTGAGCCTCACAGAACATATCCAGAAAGAGTTACTTCAGCATGTCTTTCATTCTGAATTTCACTGATTCTTCACTATTCAATCCAAATATGAAAATAATTATTTCTTCTTTAGATGCAGTTTATCAAAAAAATTCTTGAAAAAATTCTTGCCAGTAAACTCATATCCTGACTTTCTGTAATCCGTCATTTTTTTCATTTTAATGTAACAAAGTGTCCATAGTCGAGGTTCTTAAGAAATTTTGTTTGTAAAAAACTTCAAGTCACCCAGACCAAAACAGACAATAAATAAACAGGAAACAATCGCTGTTTTTGAGATACAACAAACCCTTTTACTTACTTCTTACAGTACTTCACACCTACCATTTACATAAATGTGCAAATGGTGTTTTACTTTGGGGTATAATTACATATCCAAAGCATTGTTTGTTCTAGATGAGTCTATACAAAACAGAATGGAAAATTAGTTCGATTTTAGCCCAGTCACCACAGGTGCCTCAATTATACCCAAAACCAGTAGTAGAAATATTTTTGAGATTTATTTTAATTCTACAGATACATATAGTCCACAATTTTGCTACTTGTTTACTTAAAAGGAAAAAAATTGTTTCTTTCTCTCATATTACGTAATCTGTCTGTAGCCCTCATTTTGCTACACATGAATGTTTAAGATGAGAACTCTTAAATGGTACTGGTGGGTGTAGGATTGAGAGGGTGGTAAGCTTCCCTAGTAGGTAGGTTTACTTTCTTGCTTAGATCTTATATGAATGTACCACTAGTTTTTATTTTTGGAATATATGTAGCAGATACAAACAAAGTTAAAGATAACAATTCCTAGTTTTCACGGTGCACAGAATCTCATATACAAATATGAAATTACATTATAATTTACAAGAAATCCATTTTAACAAACTTTAAAAACTTCAAAGAATCAGGTAGGCCTTCAAAAGATATTGTGTAATAGCAAATTCATGTTTAAAAATTGCATAAGTTGGGTCCATAGAGAATCCTTTATGTGTATGTCTGGATGCCATATGTCCACCAAAGCTAAGCTAAATATATGAAAAAATTTGACCATTTGCATGACACTGAAAACCAGCACCAAATCCAATTATGAGTGGGTGCATCATGAATGCTCGGCAAAGAGCACCTTTACCATCTAGAAGGAGGCATAATGTCTTGTATAAATATTTCTTTCACGATTTTAACTTCTGTGACGGTGTACTTATTGTAATGTGTTGAAGACTCATTGAATAAATAGTCCCATATCGTCAACAATTCAAAGTGTGTAGAGAACAATATTGATATCTAAAATCTAGCAAATACAACTGTAGATTTAATGTCATTTCACAAGGCCACAATAGTTGAATACTAAAAAATATGGAGCATCAATTTTCAAATTGGTTTGGCACCAAAATTAAGCTAGCATAGCAATTTGAGGGCTAGATAGATTACCCGATCTTTCGGAAATGAACTTGAAAAGCGAAATAGCCTTCCCTTAAATAGAGTCAATGACTTTCTATTCTGAATTTCATTGCTGGAACCCTTCCCTATCTTCTGTTCACTCATACTAGCACAAAACTGGTTTTGGTTAGCAGAAGCACATCTACCTGTTTCTCTCAAAGAGCAATCCCTGTTCATAGTGATTTGGGGTTCTCTGCTTTTCTCCAACAACATTCCAGATCCAAAAGTAATATTGTCCCGTAGTTGATCATCTGACAACATAGAGTGAACAGTCGAGGAGTTCCCTTGCGTCATAACAGCCATGCCCATCCCAGCTCCCTTATTGGAACGCATAGCATCTACATAATAAGGGATACAGTTAATGAACAAGATAAATATGCCAAATGGACAGGCTCAAACACTATAAACTAACGCCAACAAAAACACAGCAGCATTCGCGGTAGTGGCAAGGCAACAACATCAATGCAAGGCCAAACAAAATCAACTGGTAGATCTCACAAAACAGTTGTAACCTTTTGGAAAGAGTAAATCATATGCAATGTGCCTCTGAAGCACAGGAATTTCTTTCTTTTCACGGTCACAATCTTCAAGCCACGTGGTTCTAACCACATGAATGACACCCAAAGCTCCAAGGCCCCTAACATCCTTTTTCTCGCTGCAAAATTGTTAAGCATGTGAGAAAGAGTATGAAGCATACTAACCTATTAGAAGACTGTTGTATGAGTATGATAGATAAATAAAATGACAAGGCATTTCCAACCCAATATGAAACACCATATCCAATCAAATAACTGGTACAACACCATTTCATCTAAAAATTTAAGTTGTTAGAAAGGTTGTAACTAAAGTATTTATACTTCAAAACGTCCCCTCACACGCGGGCCAGATTTTGGGCCTAGCACGTAGAACCATTTTTAATAATTAGAGTAGCGGCGAAATTCGAACATGGGACTAGCTACTGTGATACCATATTAAACACCATCTCATCTAAAAGCTTAAATTGTTACAGAGGTTTCTGTCAATAGATGAAGCTTCAATATAAGTAGATAAAGTTATGTTCCCTACGGACGGTAGGAGGACAGTATGATAGAAGTATCATGACATTGACTTCCTAAGCTAATAAACATGCAGTTCAACAAAGACGTGCCAATGTCAGCAAACCTTTCAAAAATCATGAAGGATAAAATATCAAACAATGTGTTAAAATAGGATTTTGCAAAATCTCAGAACGTCTTACGTCTCTGATGGAGTTCCAGCAACTATGTGCGTCAACTTTTCATTGAGTGACATATAACGGGAACCACCACCACTACGGACCATGTTGACTAGTTTACGCATTTCAGAGGCATCAAAACCAACAAGTAAAATTCTGCAGTCTGACAAGTACAATTCATTATCTTCAGTCTGAGAATCATCAGCAACACAATCATCAACATTAATGTCACTTTTGGGCGGCATGGCAGGTACTTCACTCTCCCCCTCCTTGGTAAAGACAGGATCATCCGAAAATGTACAAGACATGTTCTGCGAGAGAGTAACTTCTGGATCTGTATCCACAATCCGGTCAAGTAAAACAGATTTCAACTGTGAACCTGCGGCCACAGAAGATGGGGCACATTGCAAATTTCCCATACCTTTGTTTTGGCTATGCGGTGCCATCAAACAAGTCCTTGCAGAATTAATTGAAGATGCAGAACCACCCTGAACAGGACAAGTCTCCTCATTAAGACATGCTACACATCAAAGAAAAATAAAATTAAGGTCAGATACACGTCAAGGATTCCTCAAAAGGGAAACAAAAACTATAATTTTGGAAAAGTTCAAATGCCACCTGACATTACAGAATGTCATCAACATAATGCATTACCTCTTCTAGCAATTGATTTATCAAACCATTTCCGAGTAACAATATGAATGTGACCCCATCTTTTAGCAACCTTGTACTTGTCACCCTCAGGAGCTTACCAACAGTCAAGGAGGCAAATGATTCTAGGTCAACCAATCGCACAGAAACCTCAAATCATGAAATGTGAAGACTCAGAACAACTGGTGGTAAAATGTCCAAAAAATAATGAAAATATACTTCATAAAACAACAAACCACAAACAGCACCTATATGAGACAAATGAACTTGAACCGGTGAGATGAGAATACTCAAAACAATTTAATAACAATCAATTGTACGCCAGAGGTAAAACATTAAGTCACCAATGCAGAAATGAGATTAAAAATGCATTAGAAATTCATGAAACGTCTACAAAAAATTTGGAAGGATTTGAATACTTAAGAAAACATGAAAAAGAAACACTAAAGCAAACTTAGGCCCACAAAGGATAAGTAGCAGCTTATCTTACATCGAGACAGTTTAATTGAGACAACAGCTATTCCAATAACTTTCATGCTCAGGATTTTATAAACTTGTACTAAAGCACCAAACCAAACACACCACTGTCATTGCCAATAGCCAATTACAGCAGGATCATGCAATGAACACATAGTTAATTACCCATTTTGTTAAGAAAAACTAAAGGCTGGTAAAATTTGTGACCATCATCCACCCAGGTATGACAACCAAGCATAGCTCCATGATTCACTCCAAAAAAAATATCTCTAATCTATTTTATCATACTTAATAGGCATGCAAGTGAGGTATCCAATCTTAGCACTAACTTGAGGGCATTAAGAAGCATTATTTCTTCCTAATTCCCGATGTTAAAAATATGTTATACCACTTGTTTGCAAAAGAATAAATCCAAATACATACAGAATAATATCAAGGATTGATTCATCAAATCCCAGTTTGTTATAAGTGCTTCAAGATTCGCATCTTGCTGGACAAACTGACACGAGATATACAAAAAGGGGTCCAATTATGAATGCCTCCATGAGGAAAAAAAAGTATGATCAAACAAAGGATCACTACAAGAAGATTACATAGTATATTAAGGCTGAAAGCCCTATAAGAAGGCAAAAAGGCCTAAAGGACAAGACCTGAGGTAATCAAAGAAGAGATGACAGCAAAAAAACAAAAGGACGTCAAAGCAGCTGCAGGCTACATTGTACCCAACACCAAACTTATAGTACAAGCCTGCATTGATTTAAGGGATGCTTGCATAATGTAAGGTTGATAAAGGAAACACGTGAAAAAATAAAATCCTTTCTCTCAAGGAAAGCTCATGAAGGATATATCACAAATTAAATGTGTGCACTTCTTAGTCAGTTCAGCAGAATATTTGCCACCATTTTGTCTGACAAGCTTTTCCATCTCCTTCCGCTCATCTGAAACAAAAAAAGCACATTATGTTACATGGCAAGAATTTAACGTTAAGCCGCCAAAAGATATCTATACGCATTTTATAAAGTTGAACCAGATTATTTAAATCACTAACCTGCAGGAATTCTGGTGACACAAATTGTCAATCCAGAAAAAGGAAGAACCCTATATGACTCCTGAGGAACAACACGGTGTTCTTTCCAACATTGTTGCAGCCAGTTTATGGTTACAATTGGCTTCTTTAAACTGTTAGCAGCCCACTGCAAAATGGAACAGAAATTGATAAGTAGCCCGTGGCCAGGGGCGGAGTCAAAATTTCTTTTCAGTGGGGGCAACCATCAAGTTAAAGAGAACAGGAGGCAACCATCAAGTTAAAGAGAATGATTACTCAACAATTATCAACGTTCGTTGCATCTAGTGAACATATTTATTATCTCAAAATTTCATTCTCTATAAAAAAAAAATCCTAATCTAACACCTTTTATAAAATAATTCTTCATATTATTTTTTTTACTTTCAAAGATTTCACATATAAATACACGTGAAAAAATGATAGCCGACTATGAAAAACTAATATAACTTTTTTTTAATGCATTAGAATAAAGACAGTTTTCATAGAGAATGCTATTTTGACATATTGTTTTGTGAGTGTGCTTGCCAATGATAAAATTTTGACTCATCCGAATGACAATTTGTCTTGAAAACCCTATTTTGAATCTAATCTAATTATTCAACTAATTTCGTTTTTTTAATCCATATTCGAATCTATTAAATATTATGTATTTTATCAAAAATCCAATCTCTTATATATACATATATATCTATGTGTGTGTCGCATTGTAATTTTAATTCAATTTAATAGTTTAGTTTTATCAAATATTTACATATACATATTTGTGTATGCATATCAAATTGAATCGAAGTGAATTAAATTGAATCATAATTAGATCAAATTTTTTTATACGCCCAAATCTAAAATCTTAGAAAATAATGTAGTATATTTGATCGACGCGAATTGAATTGAATCATAATTAGATCAAATTTTTTTATGTGCCCAAATCTAAAATCTTAGAAAATGATGTAGTATATTTGAACTTAGATAATTGGTCAAAAATATATATATATATGTCTTAGTAATCGAATTCGGAGAAGGATTGATTCGGTAACTTAAGTGAGTCATTGTAGAACGAATAAAGATAACTAAAGATTAAATAAAAAATTGTGAGATTAAGTCTCTATGAGCGAACTTTGAGTCTAAATTTTTAGTGCATTAAAAAAAAATGAGTGGAGACAAGTTATTAAAAAAATTAATTTTTATTATAATTTTAAATTAACCATACAAATTTTCAGAATTTCAGTGGGGGCAATTGCCTCCACCCCTGCCCATGGCAAAAGAAAAACACAAAAAGTAAACGAGGAAATCAGTTGGGGAACGCCATCAAAGGTACTAAACAAAAAATAAATGTAAAAAGAAGCTAGGAGCCTAGGACAAAAGACCATAGTATGCATGACTACTCTGTCCGGAAGCCTAGTTGTATGGTCAAGCATACAATAAACTACATCATTAGTAGTCAATTACTATAAAGCATTAAGTTAAATTTCATGTCTCATCTGGAAAACCAGCAAATTATTGAAATCCAATTCATCCTGACAAGCTAAGGTAGTGAAAGCAGATATTAGAGTGAGAACTTTGACCCTTCAGAGATAATTCCTTCAATGATACCCAAAGGTTAAATACCCATGGAAATGCAAATGAGCATGGCCACACATCCATAGAGAAAACTAACTTTAAAAACCTTGCAAATTGGAAATAATACGGATAATAATACAGAACCTTGTACTTTGAAGCCAAAACATTCTTCACAACAACAAAGTTAACATCCAATGATGCTTTACTATGCAGCACACCTCCCATAGCTGTCACCAACTTTTCAATCTCAACCTACAATCCGTTTATAAACAGAAGAATCAATGAACGTAATGGGTTTGGGGGGGACGAATGAAGGAGAGAAATATCATGCAGAGAGAGTGAATCAGTAACTTTCCAATAATTGAAAAATCGGTAAGGAATTCCTTTTACATAATCCATTGTGACAAAAGATGGAACCTATCAGAACATACTCACAGAGGATTCTTACTTCTAAAAGTTTAGAGTAATTCAAATCAAACTTTTTGAAGTTCCAAAAAATGAATGATGGATTGAGAAAATACTGTTCTCTGATGGAACAAAAATGTTAGACAAAAAAAGTGCCAGCATCATAAAATATGTTTTCGCTAAGATCCACACCCTATGTTAAAAAAAAAAACAAGATCAAATGGATTATAAATTACAAGACTTGACCACTAAAAGTAGTGAAAACCAAAGGGGAATGCAACAATTTATGAGTTAGGAGTCAAACATGTATTCAAAAATTACTCAAAAACAAAAACAGCAATTAAGATGTTCGAATAAAATCAATTTTTCAAGTCGATGAACTTATGAAATAATTCAACTATATGCAACAAAAAATAAAGAGCATTATGTGAGTTTTGCAGAACAAAAGAATTGAGGACATTGGAGTATATATATATTACTCTCTTTTGGGGGCAAATTCAATGCAATATACTTAATAAATCTTATAGGTAACCGATATCATACAGAAATCCAAATAGGTGTGAGTTTGCTGATACGCCTTAATGATGTTGGAAGCACATCTTCGGTGCAGATGAAGCCACTCCATCCCAAGTGAACAATTTATATGACTAGCTAATAAAAGGCCTACACGAATTGCAAGCATTTCACTATGGCACTAATGATATAGGACTGAAAGCCAGATGCATCTTATTCTCATACTTTGCATAATCTTTTAACTATGAAAGCAAAAAGGATGCACAAATTAGATTTTTGACCTCACATTCACACTTGAGTATAAATTACCTATATCAAGAGTCTGGGGCACTACAAAAAGCAGGATTGAAATATAAAAGTAAGGTGAAATGGGGAAGAAGGCCAGTTAAGTAAAGGGTAAACCAGCACCCTTAATTTATGGAGACGAGAAGTGCTGCACGTGGAAGTACTAGAAGCACAATACCTTTTCGTTCATCTCAAAACCAGATACTAATACTTTGACCCCATCCATTGCAAGGCAACAAGTGAACCCTTGTTTAGGCAGCGGTCTATGTTCTTTTGCGCAAGATAGCACGCATTGAGGACCTGCCCAACATACGTATACATGTAAAGCACTACTGAACAACCTTAATTAACAACTAAAAACACTCTTAAAAATACATTCTTGCAGAAGTGTAACGATTATAGTAACATTTCGCGAAGCATGGAAATTATCAACCATCAGTTCGAACTAAAGTTAAATATACGTAGTTTATCACCAAAATCCATCAATTTCACCATGAAATCAAAGAAAAAATTAAAAAAAAAAGGCGTAAGAGTAAAATTGAAACCATACCGAGCAACTTACAACCATTGGACTGGAGATCACCAAACTTTTCCTGTAAAATCAAACAACAAGTTTTAGAAAATGCAAATATACATATATATATCATTATCGAATCAAAACTAAAGTGAAATGAAGTTAAAGATCATTAAGCATACGTGATCACGAGATGAGATGACGTGATAATCTTCGGGTCCATTTCTAGAAGGATCGCAGCAGAGAAAGATTGTAGCTCCGTTGTGCTTGAGGGCGTCGTGAAGCGAGTCGAAGTGCTCCGGAGGAACCAAATTCCGTGACATAAACACATTCGCTCCCTTGAACGTCTTCTCCATCATCTTTGATATATGAACGCATGTGCACAGAGAGAGAGAGAGAGAGAGAGAGAGAGAGAGGAAGCAGGGACGCTAGGTATTTTGTTGAACTGGAGATGAAAGATAAACGCGGGAGCGGGAAGAGTAACCCGGAAGGAAGGGAAAGTATTTGGATCGGGTTGGGGTCGGACATTAATATCCATCAAATTTAACATATAATAGAAAAATTGGTCAATTTTTTTTAAAAAGGTAAAAATTATAAATCAATCTATATAATAACATAGTTAGGTATTTGAATTTATGGGGATATATTTCCCCTCCCCTCCCAAAATTTTCACACACTCATCACACACTTTTTCTCCCAAATTTTACAAACCCAACACAAATATTCCGTAACACATAGCTACACATACTCCAATACACACTCACTACACATATATATATACACTCCAGCTGTACACACCATATATACACTTCATCTGTACACACACACACACTTCAATACACACATATTGTCATAGTTTAATATTTAATGACTTCAGTCACGGGTATCGCTAGTATACCTATAATGATCAATCGGATACATAGAGAACACACAACCCAATACAAACTCACCCACTGTCAACGCTCCTGTGTAGGGATGATAGTGGACCGAAGTAGATGTGAAGGGTATAGTCTTCAGTATTTGTACTTGCTTAAAAAAATTTCATCTATCTTTAGTTTACTCCCATTAACGCATATATTTTTCATTTTCATCCTTGTCTGTTAATAAATTTACAATCTCCGCCCTCGTCCAGTCCTCTGCCTTCACCCCTGCCCCCACCTTTGTCCACTTACCCGCTCCTAGTCCAAGCCCAAGTTAACATAATTTAAAATTTTAAATAAATCTAATATTTTAAATAATTCAACATAATTATAGAATATCATTACATAATTAAAAGTTTGTCATTTACAACATAATCTAACATAATATAATTAAAAAATTGTCTACCATATAAATCTAACACAATATAATGCAATACAACATAATGTAACATAACATAATCCAATATTAAAAAAATACAAAAACACAAAAATCTACATTTTTACAAACCAAAAACATGAAAAAAGTTAAAAAATAAAACAGTTTTCAAAAGCAAAAATTATTCATAACAACATGTATATATATAAAATAATAATAATAATGGGTAAGGCAAAGCAGGGGCGGGGGCAAGGAGAGGTAAAGTGTTAGTCCATCTCCATCTTCATCGCCGCACGGGTTTATACAGATATTCTCGTATACGTTCACCATCCAATACGTATGATTCATCCCTGGTCCAAACGAGACAAGTTTGGACGAATACCTATTTTTATCCAATCCATTACCATCCCTACCCCTATGAGTATACTAATAAAGTGAGTGAAATTCAAATTTTCAATATGCTTTCTCTAAATTTCTTTTTATAGTAAATTATTTTTTCGTAAATTAATAGAAATCGAGTTTATGAAGGAAGTTTCGCTTAAATATAACACAATTGATCTACTATTTAGGAAAACTAAGACAAAAATTATTGAAAAAGGATAAAAACCTCCAAAAAATTATATTAGGCTAATATTACAAATCAATATGCGCAATCGACAGTGATATCCTCCTTTTTTAGTTGAACTTAAATAAATCGTAAATTCAAACGTCAAGAACTCAATGTTCATTTTCAAACTTAATTAATACATATGATTTGCAAATGATTACATATATGTAGAGTTTTCTCTCGCATGAATGAATCCAAAGTAGTCATGCCTAGGAGTGGCTCCTGGTTAACAAAAAATAAACTAAGTACCGGGTGAAGAGACAATTGTTTTTCACTTGATTTTTGCTAATTTATTTTGGTTGTTGGCATGGAATTATGCCTGCGTGTGAGGGTAGTGGATCAGCTAGTAAACTGAGGAACCATATGAAAAAAGGCATTTTTTTCCACAAAATTACAAGGATACATTTGACTTTAATTGCAATTTTCTCACAATGGGTGGATTTAGAATAATTTCCATCGCCGGATTTTCAATAATAGTACTTTAGTCCAAAAAAGATGGGGGCCATTAGCATTAAAATGCTATAAACCTACACAACAAGGGAATAAAATGAATTTCACCCGTTTAAAATATTACCTCAAATTCCTAAATTCGAATCCCTAATCGGTTCAACGCACATAGAATAAACATTGTGTTGCATATCCACATTGCAGTCACAAGTACAAATTCCCAGGCTATATGAATAGAATGACATAGCATCTTATTCTGTTTTCATTCTAATTTTTTCGATTCATTTTCTTACCTTCATCTCTTTCCCCATATTCAACCCACCATGATTTCATCAGCAAATCACTGAGTCAGATTTCCAAACCACATATTTTGCGCTAACCCTAACTATCATGATCAGCTGAATAGCCCGTTACATGAACACCTTCATAACCTAAGAAACGAAAACGATTAGTTAGTCACAAAAAAGAACAAAGCTGCCAAAATGGAAACAAAGATGCGTGCTAAATGAACATCTCCATAATTTCCTAAGCTACATCTTGTCTGCCGTCCTGTTCAAAGCTCGTAGCAGCAGCCAACTGAACGTTTGGTCTCTGAAGAGGACCAGCAGCCTGTTTGTGGGACTTGTGCTTTAACTCTACTTGTACAGAACTCAATTTATCTGGACGGAAGTGAGCTTCAGTCAACGTCGATTCTGGCTTCCTCTTTACCTTCTTTTTTGTCAGTGCGTCCGTTGTCCTAGTGTTATTGGAATTACCAGAACTACCCTTAACCATCTCTTGCTTGGACCGGTCCACGCTAGGAGCATTCATAACAATGTTGGGCATTTGTATCACCGTATTTGCTGCCGCTGTGCTGGACACAGGCCTATTGAGTGAGGTTAGACCAGGAATAGTTGAACCAGTAACCAACTTCTCTTGCATATGTTGTGGCTGAGCAGTCGAACTAGCCTCAACTCGAACAGTCTCCTCAGACTTTGGCATCAACATCTTCTTCCTCTTCATTTTCTCATGATCCTGAACACAAACATATGGAAAAGAATTAGAGCAGTCCACATGAAACAATAGTTTTAGAGTAATCACCACCCTAACCCCCTCTGGCAGTTTCCTGGTTTCTATCTGACAAACGGAAAAGTTTAGCATATTACTGTTACATCTAGTTTATATATGGCCATTGGATGCACACCTCTTCGTTAATCAATGTGGGTAATATCCACCCACTAAGATTAAGATTTTTTAAATCTAATGTCACCAATATGGTTTACTTTTTGCACATATCAAACAGATGCAAGATCCACTAAAGATTAAGATTTTTCAAATCTAATGTCACCAATATTGTTTACTTCTTGCACATATCAAACAGATGCAAGATCCACTAAAGACTTCTAGGCATGCATTTGTTTTTAAGCAATAGGCATGCACCTGTTTTTAAGCATAAAATCAAGTTTCAGTTTCTTCAGTCTGTAGTTGCACAGTTTTTGTGGTGTTGATGAGATGAAACAGCATAGACCGTTAATTATTACAACACATACCAGCATATCTGTTAGTACCTTACCATATGCAATATGCATTTTACGGTACATTACGATCTAGTGTAAAAATGATACGGTACAGACAAGATCATTTTTTTTTTATGGTTTACAATTTTTTACTCTTAACCAATGAAGTGACACTGTTTCCTGTAAAAAAAGTTCCTTTGTTGGTATGACCTCAAACAAATGAAACCTGCAACCATCTGCTGTTGCGATCCTATCCTATTTCGCTTTTTCTGTTTCTTTTCTTCTTCAAACAAACAAAAACATTGCCGTATTTCAATCTCTTCCGCGAAGATGAAAGGTTGTCTCATTCGAACTCTATTGCAAACACGCATCACATTGGATGATGAGTGGGATCAAATTGTATCTATATTATGTTGGACATGGCCTATATTATAAAAGAGCGAATGCTCTTTTTAGTCAACACAGAGATCAGAATTTTCAAAACAAGGCCAGACAAGAAAATGATGTATTTATCATGGACCACACATTATGGAAAAAATATCGAGTAAGTCAAGTCTCTGTCATATTTTATCACTACATTTAAAACCTGGGATCCACACTTCTTTTCAATACACTCAAATTCGTCTGAAAATATACTGAAAATAAAGGTGCATCTGAAAAAGAAATCTTGTGTGCTTGTCAACTAAAATAGAACACATTGCATAGACAAGATCTTTTGCTTTTTTTATCACCAGCACTCCAACATCCTATCTTTTCACTCCTGTCATCTCTCTTGCGCGCTCTCTCTCTCCCCCATTTTTCTCTGATCTCCGACACATTTCTCTTCTCCGAATACCAAGTTCCATCCCTGGCGAACTCTAACAACTGGTATATAAGATTAGTCTTTATCTCACTCATCCACTTCAACACACACACCCTTACTCTTCCTCTCCTCTCTTTCCTGTGCACACACAAACCCACACTCTTGGCACAATGTAGGCACCCACACACCCAATCCAACGGTCCATAATAAAAAGAAAGCAACTTTACAAATGTGTCGCTTTTCTTGCCTTTCATTTTTCCTCGCTTCAACCACATTCGCTTTGCCCGGGATGCTCAAGGCGACAAACCCTTACCTCGCTTTGCTTTTTGCCTAGGCGAGCTTTTCAAAACATTGCACACCCCACCCCCACCCCCACCCAACACACTCTCCAAATTTCTCACACACCTACCCACTTAGTTTTACACCCTCACCCATAATCACACATCCACATGCAATTTAAGACGCCCACCCTCCAATTTCACACACAAACTGTGGAGGGTGTTAAATTGCAATAGAACATATGTAATTTAACACAATGAAATTTAACCCACCTCCCTACTTCACTTCTTTAGTTTTAGGGTTTACAATTGTGTTATTTCAACCTCCAATTAGGGGAATTCCAAAGCTCCTCTCAATTTTCCTAAAAGCATGTGTTTTTTTGAAACTGCTTTGGCAACGTATACTTTTAATATTTTGATAGCCTAAGTGGGAAGCCAAATATTACATCAACGTTGATAATTCGAACATGTCGATAGATAGAACCTCTTGGATTTTAATTCTAAGTTACCGTTATTATTGTGAATAATGCTTATGGTTGATGCCAAAATATTCGTGTTGACATAATTATCTTGACTGATATGGTATACTTATTTCATTCCTGATTAACTTTTGCAAGAAAAATCTCATAAGGTTTGTGCCTATGTGAAATGTTAGTTGATTGAAACTTGAGCAATTTCGGATTTTTCATTGGCAAGAATAATTTTTTGGTGCCGTTAGTGGGAAGGCTCCAAAGTGGGAAATCTTTTAGGAACACAGTGTTGAATTGAAGTAATTGATATACGGACAACGTGGGATGCTATTGCCTTTTTCACATTGATGTGATATTGGAACTTACCTTACTAGTTTAGCTTCTTATTTAACTCCTTTTGTGAGAATATTCGACTCTATGGAATTAGACGAGGAAAGAGCAATCACAATATTGCACAGTAGAATGTGAGTTTTCAGCGAAAAGGATTTGGTACAAAGATGTGTACCACCTTTATACAAGTTGCCACTAGAAGTCTCTTAGAAAAGGAATAAAGAATGATACTGCAACATAGATGTTGTATGACACATGCATTGGTGATCGATTAGACAACTTATAGCATAGACTCATAGTATAGGTTTAGCTTTGAAAATTTTTATTAACATCTTGCCTGAACACTCTTATTGTGTTGATACATTTTCTTGGGCAAAGCCAAAGAAAAAGGGGTTTGTTTATTTAGTTAAATGGCTTTCATTATTTTTGATTTTATTGCTAATTTGATTGTTGTTTGTGGTTTAATTTAACCTTATCTTATTGTGGGATTCTTTGAGCTTAATCAAATCTAACTTGTTATTGTTTTGGATTAGGGACATTGAAGAATGACTAGGATGTTACCAAATAATGAGGTGTGAACTCTTGATTATTGGACACACATTTGGTTTTGTGAAAAGAAAAATAGTTGAGGCTAACTTGATTGTCAATGAACTCTTAATTATGAACTTTTAGAATTTTATTGAGTTAACCTGATAAAGGATTAAGCAAATTCTATTGGGTTTTGTGATGGTGCTATAGGAAGTACATTAGTTGTGATTTGTTTAGCTCTCGACTATTCTTCACCTTTTTTTAATTTTAAAAAAAGTTTATAATATGACTGGTTTTTCAAGGGCCTATATGCTGTTTTTTCTTGACAGGAAATGCATTCTGCTTTTTTTCATGCAGACAGATTGTTATCAAAATATTGATCACGTATTATGTGCATTTGGAACTATATTGAATGATTTCAAGCCTTCTGAACGAAAAAAAAAAAAAAAAAAAAGTTTTCAAGCCCTATATTGAGGTTCATTTTTTTCTTTGAATAGACCCTACTTGATTGCAATTGTGGTGATGTAATTAGGTAATTGTTTTTGGTTTTTTGGTATTTTTCAGTTGTAGATGTATAACGGAGTGCATCTGGTTGACAACTCAATTTAAGTCTCCGTAAGCGAGGAATTAGTATAAATGCTTTGGCTTTAAATAATAAGAAGGTTTTCAAATAATAGTTGTTTTGATGGGTGTTTTAATCTAGAAATATATTCCATGGTGATTATTGAGAGCGACGAGCAATCCTTGAATTCTTCCTTACAGCCAGACATTTACTTTCTCAGTTTTGAGTTATTTTGCATTTAATGTTAGAAGCGAACGAAACTATTTCACTACATTGTAGTTTTTACGATAAGAATGGATGATTTAAAGTTTCCAACAAAACTCACATGCTGACAAAAAACTAATATTGGAAAATTACAAAACCATAATTGCGTGATATAAAAAAAAAATAGTAAAATCACCACACTTAATGGTCGTCTTTGAAATATTATGTAGCTGACTGCATTTAGAAAATGTACAAATTAATCTCCTAATGCATTTACATTGGTCTCGAAAGTTTCATTGTCAATATCTTTTTTATGAAAAGTCTACAACTTGAAAAACTTTTGACTACCGAAAATATCCACAATAACCAGAGGGGCCTCAACGTCTATCTTCAGTTGCAATTGTGTACTTCTTTCATGTTGTTCATTACAAATGCGAAGGCCTCTCTTAAAAGCTAATTGTTGTTGCTAGAACTGAAACATTGATGAAATATTGTGTATGTATTATCTCAGTTGCAACAGCTACCTTTGAAGTTCAACAAGAGGCTCGCTCTATTGGTTTATTATTATGCATTGGTTTTGTATAGAAAATCATTCATTGTCCGTGAATTCTCCTCCCTTGGTTATTGTTTATTTATTTATTAAGATAAGACAATATTCAGTCTTTTATAAATTCATTGGCTATATATATATATATATATATATATATATATATATATATATATATATATATGATTATGCCAGTGGATGAATTATATAGGGAGGTGGTGGCAAAAATGCACCACTAGGTATGAGCTTAAATGCCCATGTGTTTCGTGCGCAAGTGCACATGTTGAGACTTCTTGATAATTAATAGTAATATAATATTGTTGTTTGGTGCTGGTGGTAGTTCAGTGTATTACTTATTTACACTTGATGCCTAATTGGGTAGAAATTACCTTTCAATCTGTTGAATTGTTGCCCAACAATTATTGCATTAGAGTGTATGAAGGGCTATTGTAAATCACTTCATGAAAATAAGACCTTATCCACCCTTTTTGGGTAAATATTATCCACTCCTTTTCTTAGCTCATTCTTTCACTCTTTTGGGGCATGTTCACTTGTTTTAAATTCTTCTTCAACCATCTTCTAGAGGTTTGAGATTAGAGTTCTCAAAAGAGGCAACATATGTAGATTCAAGTTTAGTATGCAAAATTTTAGACTCAAAAAAGTCCACGTGCAATGTCTGTGTACACCAACTATCTCACAAAAAATGGGCTCTAATTAGCATGCCTTGCACACGGACTCCTCACTAGTATTTATATATGTATTGATATATTTTTTTAATATATATTATTTTTTAAAATTGAATGCATCTTACGGTATGTAATACATTACAATTAACGATATGTTATTTTTCGAAGATGATACACAAAACACGGTTTAACAACTTGGCATACCAATATAACACCACAAACCAGTTTGTTCACATAGAGAATGGCAAGTTTTTTTTTATGTTAGAAATTATATTCCTTGAAAATTTTTAATTAAAATTTGTCACATAAGGAAACTGACTTGCTAACAAAAGAATATCAATGTCAAATGCAAGGGATACTATATTTTTTTCTTTATCCTTTACATCTATTTCTCCCTTGCAACACATGCATTCAATTGCATTCAAAGCCAATAAATATTTCCATTTTTCACCAATTCTACTATTTAGTTACTAGGAAAGTCTGCATCTAAACTAATCTTCCATATCAAAAATGAATATACCAAGATAAAAGTACAAGACTTTATATCGAAGAGCTTTTACAATCCAGTACTTACTCCATAATAGGAAATTCAGAAGCTAACACTAGATGTGAAGACAGCATTCAATAAACTTGCATACAGCCATATGACAACAGAAACCATTTTCTGTTCATAATTTTCTAAGAAAGGTCAGATGGACCGCAAGATCTGCAAATGATCTAGCTGATACTTCATCTAAATTGTCAAGCTCACATAACCCAATTAAAGGTCACTTCTACATCACTTGACGCTGGTTGGGAGGAAGTCTATTCCCATGAGGTTATATACTTGTCTTCCTTTTTCGCTTTAATTGCGCTGGCTGTCTTACCTTTTTCTTCTAACCTAACATAATCAACTCTGACTTTCTTACCCATTACCATTGTCAAAAATTAGATTCCATAATATGCTGTGGCTGTGCTGACAGAAATGAACAAATTGGAAAGTACTTCATATGTGCTACGAGTCGATGGCTTTGCGGCAACTTCTCTATGTCCTAAACAGAAACTATAGAGATGGAACAGGGTCACCTAATCTGACTATACTCATGATATGGGGTTTTTGTACGTGGTCTTGCAATTTTTCTAACTAAAGTAAGGTAAATGGCAAGCCAAATTGCCTATATACATAATCTTTTCATCTTAATAGAGCAGAAGACAATAGATACTATCCTTGAGGGGTGAAGCCTAAGATGCACTGTGCGAAAATCTTTCAGAGACTTCAACCGCAATGACTATATCCTCACACAACTTAATCCACTTAACCATAACCAACAAATTCCAAGGTTCTCAATGCTTTCCTCAATTACATATGCAACTACATCATCAATGGGTGTTTTCCTATACAGAGGCCAATAATAGAAAGTAATATTTACTGGAGTAAATTTTGATAAGCTCTTCAATTAATTTTCCCAAGATTCGTACAACATATAAAACAACTAGGAGTTAAATGTGCTTTTAGGGGTTTTCAGCAAAAAGAGAAACCTACATCAAAAGAACCGATTGCCATTGCAAAGTAACCGATGCTCAAGCTAACTTTACACCCACCAAGTCAACCATTATCCCAGTTTAAAATCATGCTCACAATGGATGGCCCACCACTATTCTATCCAATGCTACCCTCTCCAACACTCTCATTGTTTTGTGTAGCCTTGAAAAAATGATCACTCATTCCATTCCAACTGAACAAACCAAGTGCAAATACAGCAATATATCCCAGCCAAAGTTGTCAATCGTGTATCTCAAAGTGTACCATTTTTCAAAGGAATGTATCGTGGCATATCATGTATCGTAAAACTTGCTCAAGTTTATATATATATATGCGTACCAATATATAGATTTATAGTGTCCAAAATAATATAAATACAATTTCAACTAACTTTTCATTTCGTACGACGCGTGTTTACAACGGATATCAAAAGGGTGACAACTGTTGTCTTTGTGACAAAGATCAAAATATAACTAGGGTCTCGTCTATTTGAAGAAGAAGAAGAAGCAAGAGGATCATAGGAGAAGAAGATAATTGTGGGCTTCACCTATTTGAGATCAAACCAAAAAGGATAAAATAACCTGTAGAAAACAATGTATAAAAAAATCTTGCAATACGACGCAGTTTTTCTGCTTAGAGTAGAAACAAAAAAATGGTCCTGCGTGTGTCGTTGTTTTATTATCAGAAAGTACCATAAGATACGTATTACGTATTGTATGATACAATGGGAAAAAATAAGATCAGAAAGGCTATACAAGACTTGCACATCGGATTATACTAGCAACTATGATCACAACTAATGTAGAATGAAGGTTTTTAGCGACAAACGCTTTTTTCTTTAAATATTTCTTTTCAGCCATCAAATATACATTATTTGTCCTGGAACAGAAGTAAAAGACTCCAAACTATGCATGGCATGACAAATCTGAATGACCGAGATCTGCTCAATAATGACTTAATTACCTCCCACAACTCCTCAGACTTTCAGTACACCAGAAGCAAACGAACGACATTTCTATGACATACTGAACTGTTCCCAATCAAGACTACTACGCAAACACTTGCTGAACATTCACAAAGTAATCACAAACATTTGTGCACAATACATTGCTCAATCACCTCAGAGCTCACTGATCAATCTATGCAATTATCTCAGACCTGAAATGTCTACTAAAAATTCACTCTGAATGGACCATGGTATGTATCAGAAGGAACTCAAATACAGCAGCTCACGAGCTAGCCGAATGGGATCTGGCCATGCTCTACTCAGGAAGACAATTATCCGAAGAACTCCCAAGCTCAAGACTGTGTTGCGAAGGACACTCTGCCTGTCCGCTCAACTGGGAAGTTATGTCAATTTAGCTTCTCTATTATTTCTTGTTAACCATGTATCTTCATTTTTAACCAGCAAAAAAAAAAAAAAAAAACATGTTCTAGACTTTCACAATGTTGATCTTTTTCTTTTCTTTTCTTTTTCAACTCATAATTTTTAAGTGAATTAACTTTTCTCAGGATCGCACTAGAAGTGCACATACTAAAATGGTCCCTTGATTCTTCCAATAGCACACGAATACAAATGGCCACATTCCTGGATGTGCATAGAGCCAGAGATATCTTCCATGCTCATAAGGAACCTCCCCCCCCCTCCCCCCCGCCGGGGTGGGGGGAGATGCACACAAACATGCATAGTTAAAACCAATGTTATCAGAACCGGACCGGACATCGAACCGGCAAAGGAATCGAGTTAATCGGTCAATTGGTCAGACCAGTTATATAAATTTAAAATTAAAAAATAATTATTAATAATGAATATGCTCAGAAAAAATTGAAGGCAGCTGGGAAATAATTAAAAAAGTTGACAAACCAATCACAAATAATATTGAAAGGCAAGTTGAGACCACTTTCCGTGGGAAAGAGCACATCCCACATCGGCAAGTCATAACAGATTGAAGGCAGTATGTGCCTATACAAGATTCTTCGGCCCCTTCGGTCACATGTAGGCGCATTTTTTAATAGAACGCTACCAAGTTTATTAGTTTTTTATTAAAGGAAGTTGACCCGTCTAAACCGGTTATAATGGTTCAATTGAAATCGTTCAATTTAGTCCGGCTTTTACTGGGTGAATTACATGAACGGTCTGATTAAAAGACTGGACCGGCTTGGGTACCGATTCACCGGGTTGACCTGCCAGTCCGGTTCGGTTTTAATAACAATGGTTAAAACTGCCTTGGCTATGAACATATGTAAGCTAAGTACTTGAACCAAAATGCAATCAAAACCATCACACACAAGGTAATGATTGCTACATAAAGGTGTGGTAAGTAAAGCGGAAACATAATAACTTCTGTTAACAATATGTATAACAAGCCCACGGTAGATGGATTTTTTTTCTTTCATATAAATAATAAAGTAACACTCAACTTAATCTCTATTAATGGGGGCCTGGGAAGGGTAGATTGAATATAAACCTAACATTTCACATTATTTGCAAAGAAGGCTACCCTCATGTTCGAATCCACGACCTCAGTGTTTAAAATTCAACCCAATAACTCTAAGGTTTTGGATTCAAATTTGAGAGCAGACACTTCTTGCAAATAATGTCAAAGGCCAAGTCTACACCCATTTACCTCTCCCAGAACCACACCAATGGGGACTATACTTGGTGGTGTACATGTGTGTGCAGTTATAATTATGAAGCAATAAGAATTGAATTGACAACAAATACAGCCAACTAACAACACTAGGAAATGACAATGGAAGACCTGTCAAGATTGAAAACATACATACTTTATGACGACTGTAAAATGCCCTCTTCCTATCTTTTGCCCTACAGATAGCACGTTTAATCCCATGATTGTCCATGAATCCACTTGGCCACAATTTTGCAAGCTGCAAAAAAAAAAAAAAATAATGAAGGAATTTTTCTGGAAAGAATTGAATAGCATTTAAGCAGCCACAACAGGGAATAACTAATAACTGATCTACTTGGTGGGGGGAAAACCAAGAAAGAGAAAAAGAACAGCGAGCACAATATCATCAACAGTATTTTGATCTTAAAAGAAGACTAAAACAGGATGCACAATTGCATACTGTTCTAATGCAAATCATTACTGAAAACTTCATTAATTGACACAGTTCAAGTTTTTTCAATAAGCCACAGTTTAAGTTGCACTGCTGCGAAAACTGTTTTAGCTTCTTCAAAAGTCACATAATGGATCTTGCTGGAAGTTTTCACAAGAAATAGGCAAATCATTTGTGAACAGCTTCCTTCCCTCAAAGTATAAAAAAGCAAGCACAAGCCAACTACCTCTGCATACAACTTTCTGGCCTGTCGACCAGCATCTTCGTCCAGCCCCTGAGAACCAGACAACAAATATCAAGTAAGATCTGCTATGAAAACATCTCTCATAAAGTGAATCCTTAAATAATTCATAATAATAATTACATCAACATAAAGGTCATAAAGGTCGCATATCTTGTCCTCCAAAGCATCATCCATACTGCATTTTCTTTTAAGGACTTCTTTCTCTTTGGTATCAATTTCTTGAAAACTGTCAGACGCTCCAGTTTGTTCCTCTAGTATCTGAAAAAACACATAACACACTCGGTGTCAAATTAGATATATCGAATAACCAATATTTGTCATCAGTATGGTGCACAAGCATCACCAGGAAACAGAAAACATTCTCAAGTAGACTGTTACCAATTGAACCGACAAACAAAACAAATTTCTTTCTAAATCAAATAGAACAAAGCTTAAATAATAGGAAATTGAAAACACAGGACGCCAGGTGGGAAAAAAACTGGGATGGGCTGGTAAAGAGATTCTTTCAAAGAGTACCTTGGACTTCATTAGCGGAACCTGCAATTTAATCATCTCCACAACATCCTTTTTTATCTGCTGAAATCTATCATCTTTCTCTTGCTTTGCCGACAATCCAATCTCAACCATGTTTTTCAAGTTTCTCTGTTGCAAAAGTCATGCCATCTTGATCAATTATCAATGGGATGATAATAAATAATAAAGCCTAAAGCAATGCTCAATAAATTTTCCAAGGTGAATCTGAATTTGATTATGGCACAGCCATACAGCTTTAGCAAGGATAAAAAAACACACTTCATTACATTTGATGCAGTAGAAACTCTTATAACAGTTTTCAGGATTACATGTCAAACGTTGATACAACTCATTGCAACTTTCTCAAATGGTCTATGAAAATGTCACCTAATCAGAGAGCCACCACTTGATATTCTATATCAAACTACTAGTATCAAACTATGATTTTTGTCTTGTTTATTTTTTTCCAACAATGGCAGGAACAAACAAATCCCAAGCCCAATGAAATGATGCCAGTGACTTGCATTCAAGTTCTAAAAAGGCACTCGCATATTGGTAAGTCCTGCGCATTGTTGTTTCTTCATCGCTCTTATACTTGTCTTCTATTCTTTGCATGTGTTGAGCCTGAATCCTATACTCACAGCAACGGAACTCTTAAACTAGACCAGCAGATCAACTGCGAACAGGAGGAAGGGGAAGAAAAATAGAAGACCTTTTCAGATCCCAAAAACCTCAAAATTCTGGTGGCAAACCCCCCAAAAAATAAAAATAAAAATTAACCATTAGACTCCATCGAGTGTTCCAGATTTCGCTCTCTAATTACTCATCATGGGATTCAAGATACCCTGAGTTCAAATCCTATGCATTACAATTCCTGGCTTCCTAATTCTTTTGTTGTATACACAACCTGAAAAAGTTAGTTGGATGTACGAATATGATCTGGTAATTCCAAAATCATTCCAGAAATCCTATCAAGATGTGTTTGTTAACCACTGGATGTCAGCTCTCCACATGAAAGGGTATGGGTGCATTAACCAATGCTACTCTAACTGAAATTTGGGACCAAAATTAGTGGCCCAAATGATGTCGCAGCCTTTCTCCCACAACAAATAAGGGGCCCAGGAATACCACATTGGTTGCCTTTATATGCCACATCAGTTGAGCCACAAATTTGGTCTCCACATTTTCTCACTCTAGCATTTCTAGGGTGCATTTGTTCCCCAAAAAATAGCCTATCCTTGCTGGATAATGTTGAAGATTAACAGCTTCATGGGGAAGTAAATGATTGTTATCCCAAATAGCTGTATCTTCTGTGTGATTATGTAAAATGGGCTGATTTGCAACACAAGGTGGTGTGGTCTTTTTCTTCTCTCTAGCTTAAGCTGTCTGTAAATTAACATTCAATTGGATTAACCGAGGAGGAATTAGAGGTGAGGATAGAGAAAAGAATTAGAAGTGGGGCGTCCCATGCCATTCTTCAATGGACATTGAGGAGAGTAGTATCCTTAAAAAAAAGGAGCTCTAACTTTTCTTACCCCAGTCAAGAAAAGCATCTGATTTATCAACTCCTTCAAGCTTCAAATTCCTTGAGTGCTATTTTGTTATGTTTTTTTCCTTTCTTTTCTTCACCTCGTGTCTGCTTGGACATTTGGAATTACGTTTTTATTAATATAACTACTGTTGCTCATCCAAACGACAAAATCCTAAAGCATTTTCAACATGTTCCTCATACTATTAGTGACAGTCAGCCACTTGTACTAATCTACACAATTTTCCAGGAAAACCCCAACAAGTAGTCAACAATCTTTACTAGCACTGAACATTGTCAGAACTTATTGCATTCGATTTCTATTCTCATCAGCTTCACTATCTATGAAGTCGATCACAATTTTTGCCGAAGCTTTGCCCCAGCTAAAAGTTGCCAACCATTGTTAAGACAGCAATCACAATTTTTGCTGAAGATTTGCCCCAGCTAAAAGTTGCCAATCATTGTTAAGACAGAACCTTTAATAATCATTAAGAGGACAAAGATCTAAATGGTTCAACAAAACTAGAGGCACTAGACATGGAAAGGCAGCTTGTCTGGTTTGAACGAAAAGGAAACAGATCTTGCTACTTGACCTCAATAAAACTGGGTTCTGCAGTTTACTGAAAAAAAATTCCCAAATAATTTGGGGCTTGTACAATTGAATTTTTCAGTGTTTTACTAATTTTCTAGTATGGTTTTCAAATTTGCATCATAATTTTGGTTTCTCTGGTACGTATTTTGTTTAGGGAGGGATAATTAGCGAGATAATAAACATCAACTGAAAAACTGAGCAAAAGGATTTGATGAGTCACATGTCAATCAGTCATCGAATGAAGATGTACCTTTAAAGTTCTAATGTGTACCAGGTGGCCAACAAAACTCATCAGACGACTAATCAACTCCTGTGATATTTTTCCCTGGCTTGCTTGCTGCAACCACCCAAAGAAAAAAGTACTGATAACTCAAGACACCTCAGAGATTTTCTCGGCTTTTTTTTTTTTTGGGGGGGGGGGGGGTTAAAAGCAAAAAAAATGATTATAGTAATGTCATCCTCTGTACCGCTAGTCTAGCAACTTTGGCCAGCTTCTGCTTTATTTCAGGTGACAATCTCCTTTTGATGGCCTGAGATGAAATATCAGTATCTGGAACCTCCATAGTTGGTGGTCTTGCTGTTATGTTTGCATAAAAATGTAAAGGTAATAAACATAGGATGAACTTCTTGAAATTACCACCAATGGAAATTATATATGCCAGGATGATAGTCTAACATACATTCTGTAACCATCTTCTCTAAGTCCCTAATGGCTTTTTCAAGCATTGTACTTTTCGGTCTAACACTAGAACCTTCTTTCCTTTGCATGAGTGGAGTCTTCTGCATAGTTTAAGATACAACATCAAAATCAAAGAGTCATCGGTGTCATGATAATCACAATCAAAATATACAGCACAGTATAACTACTGAAAATGCCAAAAAAAAAACAAAAAAAAAAGCCCTTTGCCCTATTAGATTTTGATTACCAAAATAAAACCAGACTGATAAGTACAGAATGCAGAACCTACCAGAAATGCCAGTGCATCTAACACTCGCACGGTTGAGATAGTGTTCATCCATATCCCCAACGAATTAGAGAAGCCACTAGAAAAAGAGAGAAACAGGGAAAAAGAAAAAAAGAAAAAAAAAAGCGAAACAATTGAATGTAGAACTTTTCATGCACCAGCACATAACAAAACAATTTCCAGCACAACCTTCAACTTTGTACAAAATCCATATATAGTCGTAATTGGGGGTGCCAAAAGGCGAATTGCCTAACAAATGGCCGAAAACACTCAGTAAGGAAATTGCTTTATAGTTTATCCACGAGGGCATTTGGAACTCCTTACTCTACTTCAGTAAAATCACCTGCTTCTTTATCGTAGTAAGACCTTTGAACAATCTTTTCCTAGCCATTATAGCAGACAACTAACGCAAGCCTACTCAATAAATGTCAAAAGTAAAGGCCTATCCGCACTGCAACTAATAGAAAAAAAATACTACTAGACTAGACTAGTAAGTGGAATGCTCCCTGTTGTTCGGATCTTGACCATGCCCGAGCTTCCTAAGCTCTATGCTGTTAGGGAACTCTGCAAGGGTCTTATCACCTTCTTCCACATAATTTTTTCCATTCTCCACCTTTGTTAAGAAGACCTTTATACAGGTTTAACATTTGCAGCAATAACAACAACAAATGCAGACAAAGGCCAAAAGAAATTTTAGATGTTTACAAGTGATGACATTGGCCAGCAGAATTTAAAGCAAGCTTTAATCACAGTCGCGCAACGGTCTAAACTTAGAGTAGCTGACATGAAAATATAAATAGGCGGAGTTAAGAGTTTAATAGACTCAGTAAAACCAATCACATTTTACAGACCAAGAGGGTCACATTGGATTGCATAAAATACCAAGCAAATCACCAAAAGTATCAAATTAGCATCATAATTGTGGAACCTTGAACTCCTCAAATCAATCCAGTGCTGAAGACAAATAAGGGAAAAGAGAAATCAAAGAAAACTACTCACCACAGTTTGCATGGAGTGTTTATCTCCAGGTACACCGACATCAGTCCGCTCACAAATGCCATTTTTCTCTTTCAACTGAAATGATTGATTTAAGTCATCAATGTAGTTCAATGACTTCCCAGGCTGAGATTTGTATTGCACATCAGAACTTTTCTCTAGTGACATGTGATTTGAAGTATCAAATAATTCACTTCCTTCCTTCAATTTGTCATCTGGGGTCTTAGACGGGAGAACTAAGGTCTTCAGCTTGTCAGTGTCCTTTTCCTCCACCATGGCATAGCCATTTGATACTATCGAATGAGACGGAGGCAATATAGCTTTACCATCTGCAGATTTCTTTTTAGAAAAAGTTTCAGAAGCATTTATTTGATTCTGGAACTTTGTATCTTCACAATGTACACTCGGTACAGACATACTATGAGACAGGCTAGTTGAATTCTTCCCAACTGACAGTTCTGACTTTCCAGCAGCCTTCTTTCCTACTTTTACATGTTTAGTTAAAACAAGTCCTCCACCACTCCCACAATGATCTTTTGACAAATCTTTCCTTCTCCTTTTTTTAGGTTGCTGGTTCGGCAATAAAGTAGATTCTCTGGTAGCAAAATGGAACAAATGGGAATCAGGAAAATACACACACACACCACACTCACCCAACAAAAAAAGAGAAAATGAATGAAGAATAAACCCCCAACTCAGTTTATCAAACAATTACATTCTTATCCTCTGTCACAGATTCAAATAACAAGGCATCAGCAGGGACTGCGCTACTTAAACCTATATCTCAAGATAGTCAAATAATTATTCCTTCTAGCAGCCCAAGTATAGTCAGTGAGACAAACTAACTGTACAAATTTAATAACAAAACCAAAAAATAATGTATGACATAGAAACAATAGAGGTAACCAGCAATGTATTATTCATACAGGAAACAATGACAATGGATTCTACCTCCCCACCTTGAAGGGGGAGTGTTGGTGAGTCTTATTAATAAGGGGCAACAAGGCCATTACAATATATACCTATACCAGCTTGTATAACCTTGTATATCAGTGAGCCTTTCCTCCTTCGGACCCCTCTCCCTCCCCCTCCTCTCTCTCATTCCTACAGTTTATAACTACAAAGGGAACAATTTACAAACTCCTCAAAACCTTTTCCAATTTTTTACCACAATCCGGCATCATGGAACAAAATTTCATTTATTTTCTACCGAAATGTTTATATTTCCATGATAAAGATTGAACATATTGAAATTTCACTATTTCAAGGTGCTTCAATATATTTCGGAAAGAAGTTTTCAATTTTTTTTATCTATTTCCAATAAATTTTAGACTACGTTTCCGAGCTGATCGAAACCATACACCAAAATGAAATATTAATACTTGTCCAACACCATAAGGTTCCCAAACGTCATTAAATAACCAGTCTCCCCTTCCCCCCCCAAAAAAAAAAAAAAAAAAAAAAACCCCCCCCCCNATTTATTTGATTCTGGAACTTTGTATCTTCACAATGTACACTCGGTACAGACATACTATGAGACAGGCTAGTTGAATTCTTCCCAACTGACAGTTCTGACTTTCCAGCAGCCTTCTTTCCTACTTTTACATGTTTAGTTAAAACAAGTCCTCCACCACTCCCACAATGATCTTTTGACAAATCTTTCCTTCTCCTTTTTTTAGGTTGCTGGTTCGGCAATAAAGTAGATTCTCTGGTAGCAAAATGGAACAAATGGGAATCAGGAAAATACACACACACACCACACTCACCCAACAAAAAAAGAGAAAATGAATGAAGAATAAACCCCCAACTCAGTTTATCAAACAATTACATTCTTATCCTCTGTCACAGATTCAAATAACAAGGCATCAGCAGGGACTGCGCTACTTAAACCTATATCTCAAGATAGTCAAATAATTATTCCTTCTAGCAGCCCAAGTATAGTCAGTGAGACAAACTAACTGTACAAATTTAATAACAAAACCAAAAAATAATGTATGACATAGAAACAATAGAGGTAACCAGCAATGTATTATTCATACAGGAAACAATGACAATGGATTCTACCTCCCCACCTTGAAGGGGGAGTGTTGGTGAGTCTTATTAATAAGGGGCAACAAGGCCATTACAATATATACCTATACCAGCTTGTATAACCTTGTATATCAGTGAGCCTTTCCTCCTTCGGACCCCTCTCCCTCCCCCTCCTCTCTCTCATTCCTACAGTTTATAACTACAAAGGGAACAATTTACAAACTCCTCAAAACCTTTTCCAATTTTTTACCACAATCCGGCATCATGGAACAAAATTTCATTTATTTTCTACCGAAATGTTTATATTTCCATGATAAAGATTGAACATATTGAAATTTCACTATTTCAAGGTGCTTCAATATATTTCGGAAAGAAGTTTTCAATTTTTTTTATCTATTTCCAATAAATTTTAGACTACGTTTCCGAGCTGATCGAAACCATACACCAAAATGAAATATTAATACTTGTCCAACACCATAAGGTTCCCAAACGTCATTAAATAACCAGTCTCCCCCCCCCCCCCCAAAAAAAAAAAAAAAAAAAAAAACCCCACCCCCAATGAATGCCTATGGTTGACGTTGATGATACCTCCACAACCCCCTCCTTTACACCCCACATAAACCTCCACAACAACTTTCCCTAGGAATTTGGTTGAAGCACCTTAACCTTCTAATACCCAACCCACTTAATACAACACACCATCTTCCAGTCCACTTATGCTCATCCCAATGTTCTCCACAAGAAATCCATCTAAACTTTTCCGGTCTTTCTCAACATTAAGTATAAGAAGCTTGCATAGGGAATAGAGACATCTACTGTAAAAAGGAAAACTCCAAGTTCAGTTCATCCAGAGGATTAGACATCTTCTGACAAGATTAGAGCTTGCTAAGTACTATGAATTTCAACATGGGTCTCAGTTACCCAAGGAAATCTTATCGTTGTCGGAGGCTTAACATGGCGAGGAACAAGCTTTTTCTCAAGATAAATTAGAAGCAAACTCCAAATGGACATCTTAAATGTCGTATCCATCCTCAAGAAAAGCAAAGAACAGAAAAACAGGGGGAGTAGAGACGTAGAAACGCCAATGCAATTTATCGCAACCAAATAATGTCTAGCAAAGTGCTAACAGAAACTCACATGCGTTCCAACTTCCCTCGATTAACAAAGAAGCCATCATGTTTTATAGCTGAGTTATCGACCTGAAAATATTCATCCTGCAAAACAAGAGCATAAGGAATGATATGATTGACATCACCAATACATGCAACACACAAACAACAAAACCTAGTAATAGGATACCGACCTCAAAAAAACTAGCCATGCAAAAAGAAAATAAGAATACAAATGGTAGATAACAATACCAACCAGCTCAGCATCATCTATGAAAGAGTCTTCCGTGTCATACTCATCATCATCGGGAACATCATTAAGATCTTCCTCATCACTACTATGCTTACCCTGAAAAATGCAAGTAGTCACTTAGGCAAATCATTAGTATTCGATTTATATGTTGTCATATCATGTATGACATCAATAGGTCAAATGCATATCACAAAAGCTTATTAGACAATTAGACGTGAAACATTTAGAAGACATATTGCCTACCATGTATAGGCGTTCGATCTTCTCAATTACAGCACTAAAACGACCTGCCGTAGGTGCATCATTCTCTTCATTTTCAGCAGGTTGTCCCTACAAAGGTGAAAAAGCAACTAAGAATAGCATAGACAAGTAAGATCCTGTTCTATTCATTGACCTTTGCACACACTTAAGCACATATTACGAACAAAAAAGAAGATTTTCTCTTTTGTTGGTTCCCCGAGGGGGAGGCAATACACCAATACAAACTAGATGTGAGATTTCCTAGATTTCAATATGCTCCCCATGCATGACAATGTCCACATAGCTAATAGCTTAAACATCTTGGTTTCAAGATATTTTGATCATAATTTCTTCATGCAGGCAATCAACCAGCCTAGCGTCAACCACAAACAACTTATCTGAAAAATTCTACACAACTATGTTTTTTAAGTACCGGTGGATTGAAGTTTTAAATTATTTCAAAAAAAAGGAATACATGTTAATTTTAGTTGACATTTAGCTCTATTTTTCACCAATACATAATTAAAATACAACTTCCTCAACCAGAAAAAAGCTACCACCAATTCCCTTCCAATTCAGCATAACAACAATTAACCTTAACAGCAACACAACCAACATGAATTACTACATATTTATATAAATTGTAATTTATTTCTATCAAACACATACAAAAAAAATACAAATCAGGCAATGAGCACAACCCAAAGTGTGATTATTTCCCCAATTCCACAAACAAAGTCACCAAAAAAACTTCATTAGCTGGACTGAATTGAAGTCTCACCGGAGCGATACGGGACTCGAGGTTAGGATGCGCATTGGAGGGAACCTCGGGGGCGGAGGTGGGCCCATTGACCTTACTCTCGTCCTTCAGAAGAAGCTTCTTCCACGACACAATCGTGGTCTCCTCAGGTCTCAGCTCTACAGTGAATCTCTGACGCACACCCGCCGCTTCAAACGAAAGCGTAACCATAGCTGCTTCACCCGTACCGCCACCGTCTGCGCTTCCTCTTTCATCCATCGAATCAAAAAATTGAAGTATCTAGGGTTTCAAGATTTTAGAAAGAAAAAGTAAACCCTAGATTGAAGTCAAGAATTGGGTAGATTGATTGAGTCGGAACAGAATTTTTTATTTTATTTAAAAAAAATCTGGGTATTTTTTTTTATTCTGCAGAGAATTGAGATGCGCGGGACGCTGAAAGGTCTGAGCTTTTTAACCGCCAATCTATCTTTTGGTGCGAGTCGGAGGACTGATAATTTGAAGTTTTAACCTGGATAAGGTTACCTGGGTTATTGTCAGCTTTGATGCCAAACATCAGGTCCAGGTGGGAGAATATGGGAAGGAGACCCAAACCGTCAATCGGATCGAGCGAGATAAATTTGTGTCAAGTCTTGATGAGTTCGTATTAAAATTAATTTGTGTTTAATGAATCGTATTATATTGAGTTTGTATCATGTATAAATCGTTTATAACCTATATATAAATGAGTCGTGTGATATTTTTTTTTGATTAACTTCACTCATATCCGATTTTATTTATTAACAGTGTCGGGTTTATTCGTTTACGAGAATGAATGATTTGAGGAAAACCCAAACTCTCTAATCTTTTGTTTTGTACTAACGAATAGTGTTGTATTTTAACACCTTTGATAAAATGAGGAAAGTCTTTTCCTCCAAATAGGATAAAGTCCTAATTGTCTTTAAAAATATATGGGTTAATTACAAAATGTCCCTTCTAAGTTGAGGTCATGTTACAATCAACTCCCTCTTCGGGTTTCAATTTTGACAATTTATCCCCTTGAAATTTTTTTGGATTTAAATTAACTGAGAGAGTGGATGAAAAACACAAAATTCTTAAAATACCCTAACATCTAATTCTATTTTCTATCTTCTCTTTAGCCCCAACCCCTTTTCCCACCTCCGATGATGCCTTCAACCCCTTTTCCCTATTTTCGGTGCTCCCCAGCTCCGAATTTTATGTTTTCCATTCACTCTCTTAGCTAATTTAAGTCCAAAAAACTTTAAGGGGACAAATTATTAAAATTAAAACTTGAGGCAATTAATTGTAACATAACCCCAACTTAGGGAAAACATTTTGTAATTAACCCAAAATTTATCCCTTTCTTCCTCCATTGCCGTAGAACATATTCTTAGCCGTACGGGATTAGTAAGGTGATTAAACAATAAAAGATTCCGGCATATTCTAAGCTCGAGTCTTTGTGCTCTTATAAAATTATAGTTTAACTAGTCTCGTGCCTTTTGGAATCATTGCGTTTTATACGAGATTTGTAATGTGACCACATTTTCAAACGACTAAAAATTCAAATGTTTGTTCATTAAAAAACACATTCTTTTACATTGAAAGTTTATTAACAAAAAA